ATAATATGCTCAGATTTATGCCTTTAAGTGATCATAATGGCAGTATAGAGAAAAAAATAAATCCTAGAATTCTATAGTTTTTCAATACTGAATTTAGCATAAAAAAATATCTGGGCAGAAGTTTCCTAAGCGACTTAGCTATGAAGAAAAATTTCTGATGGGAGGAATTTTAAGAATTAGGAAGGTTATTGACAGAAGACATAAATTTTGATTCACTGGAAATGGTGGTAGACAGAATTCTAAGATGACCCTCTTCCTTGGTTTACTCTCATAATTATTACATGGCAAAAGCAATTTGGCAAATGTAATTAAGGTTATTAGTCAGTTCACCTTAAGAAGGTGAGATGATCGTGCCAGGCCTCCCCTAATCACACAAAATTACTCATCGCTGAGATGAAAGATTCAGGGGGCCATGAAAATGGCCTCTAGGAGCTAACAGTGGTCCTGGTCAGCAGCCAGCAAGAAAGTGGGGACCTCAGTCCTACAATTACAAGCATCTGAATTCTACCAACAATCTAAATGAGCATGGAAGCAGATTCTTCCCCAGAGGATCCAGATAAGACACCTAGACTTCAGCCTTGTGAGACTAGCAGAGAACCCAACCGAGCCCACATGGACTTCTGACCTACGGAACCATGAGATGATAAATGCATGTTGTTTTAAGCCACTATGTTTGTGGAATCTGTTATACACCGATAGAAAATTGATACAAAAAATCTTTAAACACTATGTTAGAGTGACCCTGTGAAAATAATTAGCAGGAATTTCATTTCTGTGTGTCTAGTAAGTTGTTTTGCCATATCTTAAAAAGGAAAGACTCTTAGTCTGTTTGGGTTGCTATAACAAAGTACCATAGACTGGGTGGCTCATAAACAACAGAAATTTATTCTCACAGTTCTGGAGGATGGAAGTCTGAGATCAGGTTTCATGGTTGTGTTCTGGTGAGGGCTGTCTACCGGGATGCAGACTGTGGACTTCTCATTGTATCTTCACATGGTGAAGACAGGACAAGAGAGCTCTCTGGGGTTCCTTTTATAAGGGCACTAATCCCACCATGAGGGTTTCACCCTCACGACCTCATTACCTCCCAAAGGTCACATCTCCAAATACCATCACATTGGGGATTAAGATTTCAACATATGAATTTTGGGGAGACACAAACATTTAGTCCATTGCATGTACTAAATATTCTGGAGATTGAACAGTGTCCTTTTTAAATGTTTCACAGATTCAATGTCCTTTGTATTTAATATTGAGTTTTTCCTCCTATGTCACACTGGTAGTAAATGAAAGTAGAAATAGGCTAAATGTGAGAGGAAAGGATTCTTTATCAATCAATGTCTTACAGACAATTTAAACAATTTCCTTTAGAGACTTCTTTTGAAATGAGATGAAAAAGGCAGAAATGAAAGCTAAATATTATATATTCTTTGCAATCAGTAACAGAGATGCTATGAGCTCTTGATAATTTTTACCCACACATAAAAGGATTCTATTCAGGAAGTGCAAGAAGGCATTACTGAATTGATGATATACTGCAAGTGTCCGCACTTCTGCAGTCTGGAAGCTTCTGTGTTTGTAAGAGGAAAATTGTAATGGGAATGACGAATCTGTCCTGACATCTCGACTTCATCCCACTGACTCTTCTTTCTAAGCTCTTCTTGTCTGTTAGGTACTGAAAGACTCTGCCCAGACCAGAAACTCTGAGCTCCCTCCCCTGGAGATTCTCAGTTCAACAGAGGAAAAAGGAGCAGAACCAGGAAACAGGTGCAGAGTATGGTGAGGGGACCACGTGTACTGCAGTAGGAAAGACAGTGCCCTCAACTTTAAGTTCCTGCCCCTCAAATAAATCAGTTTTCCCAATGTACTTGCTAACATTTACTTTCTTCTCTATTTCGTTTCTTTTTCTTCCTGCTTGTTGTCATCCAGTTTAATTACTGAGCTACCATAATAATTTCTCAATTAAATACCACCCAGGAAATTTTTGGCTTATCCTGAGAAGACTGTGTTCTGTCCCTTCTTCTCAGGTGTAGCTGAGTCTTTCCTTCTCCCTTCTCTCCTGTGATACCCTCTGGCATAAGTCCCAAGAAAGAGCGCTTTGCTGCTGAAGACACCTTTGCCTCAAATGTAATTTCTGATTTCATTTCTTCCTTGGGTAATCTTCTGAGTATTTTCTGAGTAATTTTCTGGGTAATTTTTCTTTAGAGAATACTGATTTTCATGATCATTTTATTATTAAATAGGAATGATTGGATACCAGATATTGTGAATTTTGTGTTTTTTGAGGTTTTTTGCATTACTTCAAATATTTTTGGTCTTTGTTCTGAAGTGCTGTTAAATTATTTGGAAACAATTGGATCCCTTAGAAGCTTGCATGGAAGGTCTCTAGAACAGCCTTTTGTCAAAGGATAATTTGGTCCTCCTACTGCCTTAGTAATTGCTAGAGGACTTCGCTCCTTGCCCGTGTATTAGGAGGTCTTTTCACTCTGCCTTGTGGGGACATGAACTATTTCCAGCCCTGTGTGAGCTCAGGGAATTGTTCTGCCTCCTCTTTTCAAATGGTTGTTTCTTGGCTTTTAGGAATTTCCCCGCACACATACGCACTGATCATCACTCAGTCGAGGATTCCAAGGGGACTGTCTGAAGGTCTCCAGGGCTCTCTCCTCTCCAGTACACTATCCATGAATTCTAGCCACCTCCGTGGCTAGAACTTTGAACTCCGTCTCCTCAGCTCAGGGAGACTGCTGGGCTCTGTTTGGGAGTCTCATCCCTGAGCTGCAGTCTGGAGACTTCCTTGGCAGGGAGCTGTGACAATCGTTGGGCTCCCCTCATAAGTTTCCTTTCTTTCTGGGATCACTGTCTGTGCTGCCTGTTGTCTGTTGTCTAAAAATGTTTCATGCGTTGGATCTTCCTTATAGTTGTTTAGACATGAGAGTAAATAAAGCCCCTATTACTTCATCATGACCTAGTGGAACTTATCCAAATGGGAAATTTTGGATTAGGAGTTATTATTGGAAAAGTACAGTATCCTGATCAAGAATACCAGAACTGTTTTCAGGCTCCCTGCATTGAAATACTGTTGCTTGCTGAGTGGCCTAGGGCAAATTATGTAATCTCTATCTGTCTCAGTTCTCTCATCTGAAAAATGGGATAATAAATGTGCCATAGCCTTAAAAGTAATGGTAATGACAACAAGAAAATTGAAAATGTTTTCAGTAATGGCAGCATTACTTGAACAAGCATACAACCTTTCTAGATCTTTGAAAGATACTGATGATTTATGGGGGGGAGGAAGATTTAACAACCTCAACTTTTTTTTTTTTTTTTGAAGCTCTTACAACGAGAAAATGGAGGGGACACATCTGGGTGGGAGTGGGGAGAGGGAGGAGGGAGGGAGGTTTTGGTGATGGGACACAATAACTAACTACATTGTATATTGACAAAATAAAAATTAAAAAAATAAATAAATAAATAAAATAAATAAAATGTTGATATAATGCAAAAAAAAAAACTTCACAAAAACATCCACAATAACATTTGGCCAAATATCAGAGCAACATGGCTCAGTCAAGTTGACACATAATTAACCATCTCAGTATCTATAACTTTTTAATGTTTTTTCTCACAATAAAAATAGCTAGAAATATAGGCTATATGAAGCCTGGATTTGTATTTTGATAATTAGTTCTTTTATAGTGGATTGTCTGTTACACAAAACCATGGTTAAGTATGTGTCTGTCTAAGCAGGTAGTCAATGATAACATGTAGCCAATTAATTTTTGTTACTATGTATAAGTACAGCATCTTAACACATCAATTGAGTTTAATATTCTCTGAACCCATATCACCCACCAATTATTATCGATACCTAAAAAAGTTTGGTGGTGGGGAGAATGAGAATGCAACTATGACTTTTAAGGTTAGCACTGCTGCAAGTTTCAGATTTTAGATGAAATTTAAAGTGTGAATAAGTTTGTGTTCCTCAATTCATTCACTTGTTTTAGAAATTCAGCTATTTATTTGTATTTTCAAATTCACATTTTAAATTCCAATGTTATTTCTTCAAATGATTTCACAACAGGATTATCGAAGCAAATATCTGTATAAATGAAAAGATATATAAGCATTAAATGCCAGTTTCATGCAATATTTGTAATAAAATTCTACTAGAATTAAAAAAAAAGCCAAAACATTGTCTACAGAAATATGATTTTACCAAACTAGTATTTTGGTTTTACACTTTTATGAATCTGGGTTTTAAAAAATGTGGCTTGCGGGCCGGCCCGGTGGCGCACTGGATAGTGCGGCGCTTGGGAAGCGCGGCGGCGCTCCCGCCTGAGGGTTCGGATCCCACATACAGACCGGTTCCTGCTCACTGGCTGAGCGAGGTGCGGGAGCAACACCGAGGGTTGCGATCCCGTTGCCGGTCCCCGGTCCGGTACGGGGGCAACACTGAGGGTTGCGATCCGTGGACGGACACGGAAAAAGACAAAAGACAAAAAAAAAAAAAAATGTGGCTTGCGGGCCGGCCCGGGGGCGCACTGGATAGTGCGGCGCTTGGGGAGCGCGGCGGCGCTCCCGCCTGAGGGTTCGGATCCCACATACAGACCGGTTCCTGCTCACTGGCTGAGCGAGGTGCGGGAGCAACACCGAGGGTTGCGATCCCGTTGCCGGTCCCCGGTCCGGTACGGGGGCAACACTGAGGGTTGCGATCCGTGGACGGACACGGAAAAAGACAAAAGACAAAAAAAAAAAAAAATGTGGCTTGCTTTCTTGTTTAACCATTTACGATAAATAGAAACTATTGATTTAGAGACTTTCAGAGATTTTAAGATGTTTTATGGATCCTGCTAATAATTCCTTTTTTGGTGTGAATTATTAGCAGGATTCATAAACATCTCCACTGTTCTGTTTTGTTATACTTTCTGTACTTTAGGGACACTGTTCTGTTTTATAAAACATCTTCACTGTTCTGTTTTGTTATCCTTTCCCCTTTTTAGGTTTGGATGTGTGGAGGAGAAATGTTTGATGTTCCATGTTCTAGAGTTGGTCACATCTACAGGAAGTACGTCCCTTACAAAGTCCCATCTGGGACCAGCCTGGCCAGAGTGAGTAACTGGGGATCGGAGCAGGTTGGGCTTGGTATGGCTTTCAGCAGGCCGAGTATCAGCCTCACACAAGTTATAATCTAAGGCATGGTGTGACGGGAACACTCTGAGTATACAGAGTTCCCGTTTTTCTCAGAGTTTTATTTTTATTCCTTAAAAAAGTATTAACTAATATGCTAATTCTTGTTATTGTTTCAAAGCATTTTCATGTACATTATATTTAATCTTCACCATTACTTTCTGTGGTTTGTAGTCTTATCTCTATTTTGTAGATGAAAAAACAGGCTTGTTGAGGAAGCTTGCTTATGTTCACATGAATGACAAGTACTCGCAGCAGAGTAGGAGTTTAAGCCCGGGGCTTCAGAATGAACGTCCCCCCACCTAAAGTGTAACAAGAAACATAATAAGTTAGATAGGAAAAGTGGCAAATGGGTAAATATCTCATTCGTTAAAACATGGAAGGTAAAATTCTAAAAATTCTAAATATAATTCTGGTCCAAACTAAGCACTCACAAAATAATGTAATCATAAAGAGTAAATAAATAAATTTATCTCATTTGTATCGAGACCCACCTCTACCTAAAACTTTAACCCATCCTCAAAATTCTAAAATTGGCCAACTAAGTTTTTTTTCCAGATATATTTTGAATAAAACCTTTCTCTTAGACCAAATGCAAGGATGCCTTTCTCTTCTGCCTTTTAGAAGGTTTTCATACAAGTGTATTTCAAAAAGGTTAATGGAAAGATTTGTAGTATCTTTTAATTCCATTTTTCCAGAAATTTTTTGAAGTGCGCACATACATGTTTGGGGAGACATAGTCATGATACCTTCTCCAGAGAATCTGGATAATTTCTTTGTTTCTCTTGTTACTTTCATTTTTCCAGAAATTTTTTGAAGTGCGCACATACATGTTTGGGGGGACATAGTCATGATACCTTCTCCAGAGAATCTGGATAATTTCTTTGTTTCTCTTGTTACTTTCTTCATGGCTAGGTTGGTTTTCTTCACTACAATATGCACCTGCTACTGCTCAGATGCCAAGTCTAGAAAAAGGGTGTTTTACCACATCCCTTTGCACAATGCTCCCATAGGGATCTAATCCTGAATTAGTCATTTTGATTATTTTACTAGTAAGGCTGCAGTATATAACTATTTGAGTCTTTTATGTAAAGCTCAATAAGCTCACATAACAAGATTTTGTTTCAAAAAAAGAGTAATAATAAATAAACAAACTGGTTCATCAGGATTCATGAGAATATCAGTCCCACAAGGGCAGAGATTTTTGTCTGTGTTATTTGCTGCTATTCTCCCAGCACCTTGTGGGCATTCAGATATTTGATGGAGTTATTTAATTGGGAAAACTAAGGGGAAAAAATGTTATGGTGTTAAGTCATTACTAAAACAAACATTTTAATGAAATATAATAAAACTTTCATGTGTACTGAGTCTTTTGAGGGGGAAGGTTGTGATTCTTTATTCTCTTTCTGAGATTGTCGACAGTGTCCATTTTTCTTTAGTGACATCCATAATCTTTTTTACAGCAGTTAGAGGTTATAGTAAAAAAGTTACATTACATGCACTTTGAAGGGAAATAGTCCTATAATTCCTCCCTCCCCCCAAAATCAATTAGACATTAATAACATACGCTGCTAAATAGCTGTAGATATATGCTATTTGAAGAAAAGAAACCAATCACAAAATCACGAAATGATTCAAGAGCTGCATCTTAGGTAAGGGAATTTTTTTTTAATTTAGTCATAAGACAATACATATAATCGAAAAACAAGAATTCACCAAAAGTTAAATGATTAAACAATTTTGAGCATATATCATAAATCAGCCATGTGAATATCATAAATTATAGCAGATTAAAATATTCTGAAGGTAATGACATTCTGTCATTTATGCACTTTCATTCACTCATATGCTCCCCAGCTCGTGCCCCCAAATGATTCATTACTTTGCAAGATGGATGGTGTGTGTGATTGATTTGTAGTCAAAAGCAGAGCATAAAAACTGGGAGGAAGGAAGGAGTTGTACTCATCCAAAGGGTTTATTTTCAAAAAATAAAACTATTAATATATTTTCAAGAAAGACATTAAGTACTTTTTCAAGGACTGTCAAATATAGGGCAACTTGGGTTGGCACATAAAACTTATAGGAAAAAAGTGACTATTCATTCAAATGAAAAAGGTCCATAATTTTGAATTTTAATCTTTCCACTCAAATTTTACTTGAGGTCTCATTTTTATTTTTTTCCTAAACTGCTAGAGCAATCAGAAAGTCATAAATATTGAAGTTCAACTGTCACTCTAAGGAACATTTTATGTTTTTTTAAAGTTAAAGAAGTATATTAAATGAAAAACAATTCTCATATTTTCTGGGAGAAACTCAGCTACCTTGCTACACCCTGCATTATTACTAAATCATCAGAAATGATGAGAGATTTTAAAGACGCCGCAAATGCAGACCCACATCTACTCCATAGGTATTTCAGTCCTTCCAACCTCATTAGGAAATGGAGATGACGTTGAAGACTTGACCCTCAAGGCTTTTTATCACTTTACAAAACTCATTTAATTCTTCAAAAATGTGCACCTTTCGTGTATGTACCTACATACCTTGATTATTCAAACAGACTTCCACAACACACACACACACACACACACACACGTGTGTGAATAGCCTCCCGTCCTCTAAACAGCATACCAGTGTGTATTACAGAAATAAATGTAAATAACTAGTTATTCAGTACTTTCTATTTACCTAGCGTTACAATCTGATTGAAAGAGACAAGATAGCCACATACAAAACCATTAGAGGACAATGCAGCAAAGAATTGTTCAAATGTATTGTAAAGATATATACAGGTATCGGTAGAGGGAAGAGGAGGGGAAAGTTGTACCATAGCTATGACCTTCTTCAGTCTTCTCCAATTAAAAAATTTGAAGACCTTCAAGGATACCTCAATTAAATTAACAAATTTTACAGAACAGTGGTTACCAGACTCAGGATGAGTGCCCAGAGCCAATCCTAGCCAAGTTTCACCCAGCCTCAGTGAGCCAAAAAAAATAAATAAGAATCACAAGGCTCATCCATAGGAGTATTCATTCTTTTTTATGGCAGAGTAGTATTCCATAGTGTATATATACCACAGTTTTCTTATCCAATCATCTATTAATGGACATTTACGTTGGTTCCATATCTTGGCTATTGTAAACAGAGCTGCAATAAACATGGGAGTGCAGGTATCTCTTTGACATGATGATTTCCATTCCTCTGGATATATACCCAGAAGAGGGCTTGTTGGATTGTATGGAAGATCTATCTGTAGCTGTTTGAGAAACCTCCAAATTGTT